AAAATGAGCATCTGAGAATGATTGAAATACAATGATACATCTAATCTTTAATAGATACCTCAATGTAGATATGATTGTATCATTTTACTTAATTAAAATGTCTTTATAAGAAGTAATATCTAAAAATTATTGAGCTATTATTTGTGTTAGAAAGTGTTCTAAATGCTGTACATAGATTCTCATGTAAGCATCACTGCAGTGTTCTGTGGGATAGCTACTATTCTCATATATTTTATTGATAAGGAAATTGAAGCAAAGAAAGGCTAATAACAGCTAAGTGACAGAGCTGAAGTAAATTTTAAGCCCTAATTAAACTGAATCCAAAAGTCAAGCTTTTTCTATTAAATAGCCTGCTCTTTCATTAATATGGTGAGTAATAAGCGCTAACAAAGATTGTACTTTCTTCACAAGAAAATTAAATATTTGTTTTGAAGACAGAGAAATAACACGCTAATTAATGCTTACAGTTACCTGTTTTAAAAAGTCCTGTCACTCTCGCAGGACTGCCCTACATTTGGCCTGTGCCACTGGCCAACTGGAAGTCATATCTCTCCTGGTGTCCAGAAGATATGAGCTTAACCTCTACGACCGTGAATGCAGGACACCTCTGATCAAGGTATATAGTAGCTGACTCTTTGAGCATGAGATGGATTTGGTTTAGGTACATAGAATAAAATGAACTTATCTCATTGGATACCACTATATAACTAGTTAGTAAATCATATGGAGTGTTTACTTTGATTTTTCAGTATTTGCATGTTTCTCGGTCTAATACTGACAGGCTGTACAACTGAGGCAGGAGGTTTGTGCAACTATTCTGCTGAAAAATGGTGCTGATCCAAATATTATGGGTTTCTATGGAAGGACTGCTCTACACTCTGCTGTGTATAATGAAGATACATCCATGATAGAAAAAATTCTTTTACATGATACAGATATTGAAGAATGCAGCAAGGTATAGATCAACCAACGTTATTTTCAAACTATCTGAAATACATTTATTTTAACGTTGACACATGTTAGAGTCAATTTTTCATATTTGGAAGCTCAAACATTCCTTGAATGAAAATACTTTGAAATGCCTTAACTGTCTAAGATTTTACTTTAAATACTGGAACTTTTAAAGAAGCATTATAGGGTACAGCTTTTTTTCATGCACTTATGGTAAATAATAATAAAAACAAATGAATTACAATAAATTTATAATTCATGACAACTGAATTTGGGAAAGGGAATAGTTAAGTGGTTTTCCACTAAATTACTTTTTTTCTAATCAGTGTGAAGTGACACAGGAAAGTAAAATTTCCCCTTATTAGGCTTTATTTTAAATTTCAAAGAAAATTAAAGCATTTCACAATAAATGTACACCTTGCTGCTGCTGACAAGTATTGTATGTGAAGGTGATTTCATTTGAAAGTGATTCCTCTGTGGAAAGGCTTAAGCGGGAAAAATGAGGAAAAGGAGAGCAATCAGAAATGCACAAGCTAATTTGGAAATTAGGTAATGAGGGAAAATACTGTGGAGAGGGTTTTTGTGTGTTTTGTGGTTTGTTTTCTGTCTATATGTTTAGACAAGGATCTCTTCAGTTTTGGGGATGATTATTCTTACTTTAGGCAAGAGTTTGTGGGTTATAAAATTGCCTGGGGATCAGTTTTGGTAGGACTCTGAGAAAACCAGGTTGGCAGTGAATAGAGACGATGAAGTGGCACACAGTTCAGCAGAGAGAAGAACACACAATTAATGGACATTATTCAATTCTGGCAGAAACAGCCACTTAGATAAGCATCTAAACTCTACTCTCAAGTCCACAATGTCTTGATGGGCAGGTGGGAGATAAAGAGCTTATAAATAGTAAAATCAAGTTGGATTTTGAGTTTACTAGTCTCTTCTCTACCCCTACCCAGGAAAAGTAAATGGAGTTTTCAGTGAACGGCTCTAACTTTTGCTCTTTCCTCTTTTCGGCCAAATCCCAAATGATAAAGGGCATTTGCCATGTGGGTAAGAGATGAGACTGAAGTGATTATCAACTGTGCTAGTCCGCAGTTAGAATTGTGCATGACAGTAACCTGGGGAAATTAAAAGCAAATCTCTAAGTCTAGGATATCCCCTGATGATTTTAATATAGTAAATCTAATATTTACTATTAAATATTACTGGACTTGTATGTTTTAAAATATTTCCTTGAAGCTGGGCATGGTGGTGCCTCTAGTCAGAGCAACAGAATAAGACACTGTCTCTAACAACAACAACAACAACAACTACAACAACAAATTTCTTGAGACACTGATAGGCTGCTGGTTAAGAACCGCTGAATAGATAAGTATATTGTAAATTCCCATATCTCAAAAACGTAAAAAATGTGTAGAAGAGTTGGATGATAGGTGCTGCTTCCTTTAAATTTCTCCTTTCCAACGATATTAGCCTGGCTTTTATCTGTCTCTACTTCTGTGGTTGGGAAGTTAAAAGGACTATTATTTGCAGTATCTATCAGCTGAAGAATAACACCTTTTCTTGGCCACCATCACTTATTCACTGCCTTTCATAGGGTCGTTAGAAATTTACTATTGGGTACTCTTTTAATAAGTAGAGACTGACTCTTTCAGGACTTCGAGTCTCTTTGTTATCATTCTGGTGATTAGGTCAATACATCATTATTAAAAGCAGGGTTCTCTCAATTACAATATAAAAAATTCTAAACCTTTTTTTAAAGCTGAAGCTCTATTATGGACTGCCTCAGTATGTC